TACAGGAGACTGAACCCTTCTACTTTTTCAGGGGGATCCTCTTTCGAAGAGGCCCAATACTGGCTGGCGGAGACTGAGAGAGCCTTTGAGACCTTGGGAGTAATTCCTGAGCAGAGGGCTGCCATTGCCTCCTACATGCTGGTAGGGGAAGCAGTACGCTGGTGGGAGCTCAAGCGGGCCACCCTGCCTGTACCAGTTACTTGGGAGCAGTTCCTAACGGCTTTCCATGCGGAGTATCTCCCTAAGCACATCCAACATTTAAAAGAAATGGAATTTGCTCAGTTGGTCCAGGGTAATATGACAGTGTCGGAGTATGCCCGCAAGTTCCTGGAGCTGGGCCGACATGCCCCGGAGACATTGTTGGATGAGGGCCGAAAGGCCAGGAAATTCCAGTGGGGTCTCCGCCCGGCGATCAGACAGCACTTGTTGGTGATGGAGCTCGAGACATATTCGGCAGTCCTGGCAAAGGCGCAGATCATAGAAAGGAGCTTCGACACCCGCCCTCAGCTAACGGGAAGTTCCCGACCTTCAGCCCCGCTCCGCAGGCCAGCGCCTACCATGCCTGTCCAACCCAGTAAGAGACCCAGGCCTGCCGTTCAGGGCCCTCCTCAGGCTATGGGGGCAGCTCGTGGGAAGATCTGCCAGTACTGCGGCAGGGATCATGGGGACCGACCCTGCTACCGCCTCAACAACACCTGTCGCATATGCGGCAGTGCCCAGCACTATGCGAGGGAGTGCCCTAGGAACCAGAATCAAGGGAGGCCTCCAATCCAGGGCAGAGTTTACAACCTTACCCAGAAGGATGCCGATGCAGACCCGGACGTGGTACATGGTATGTATACTATCTCTGGCCACATTGCTCATATTTTGTTTGATACTGGTGCATCACATTCTTTTATTTCACATGTTCTTGCTTCCAAAATTTGTGTATCACCTGATGGACTTGATTCACTATTGTTGGTATCTACCGCTGGGGGGGAGACATTACTAGGAGAGGTTGTCTACAGGGCATGTGTCGTGGAGATAGCAGATAAGAAATTGAGGGTAGACCTGATAGGGTTAGACACAGGGGATTTTGATGTAATCCTAGGAATGGATTGGCTGGCGGCGTATCACGCCACCATAGACTGCTTTAATAAAAAGATTGTATTTAATCCTCCCAACGAGGAGCCATTTACAAGTTAATAAAATTATTCGGTACTGATTTTTTCTAATGACAAATTCTTTTCTTCTTAATTCCCAGTGCGTTGATATTGTATTTTCCCTAACTAGGTAAACCCAAGAAGGAAGTTTGTATCCAAGAGATTCCAGTAGTCCGAGACTTTCCAGACGTATTTCCAGATGAACT